CCCTGAGGTAACCGCATGATGCCAGCTCCAAAGGCTGATAAGATGGAGAGCAATATGTCATTTGGTGTCGGCGTGCAACAATAGAAGCATATCAGACAAATGTCAAAAAAATACTCTTCATGATATGGTAACGGGTGTTCAATAAAAAATGATAATTTTTCCAGTCATATACACACAGAGATTATTTTACTGGGGTCAGTAATTTTTTACTGGGTTTTCAAACAGCTGAAAAAGTCAGTAAACTGAAAATAACGGTCACACGTAATGCAACGAACAATTTTAACATATTTTATTTTAATCATCAAATAAATGTAAAAAGAACACAGTCTGTATAAATTTCAGGAAAAAATCACTTTTATACAATTTTTTACAATTTTTTTAAGTTTACTGACTTTTTCAGCTGTTCAAAAACCCAGTAAAAATTACCGAACAGGGAGGCCGTGATTTTGTGTGTAGCTAGTAAAAAAAACATTTTTTTTCAACGAATTCAGTATTTTCAAAAAAACGTCAATGAATATTGGAGAAGGGGCCCTGGTCAGCCGTACAACGCAACTTAGTCGCGGTGCTCTCACAAGAGCGCTGGACGGCACTGAAATCATTCTCATTTTTTATTCATCACCCGTTTAGTCAAGAAGGTTGAGTAATAAGAAGGTGTTGAACACGGATGAGGCTGGTGAGCTGTATGTTGCTTGGAACGAGAATGACGCGCTTGGCATAGATGGCCCACAGCGACTCATGAAGATGGATACCGATCAGTAGCGGTTAGACTTTTCCTTTTTCTTCGGTGAATGGACACTAATGTGGGCTGCAGCTCGCTGCTTGCGGGCAGCCTTTCGTTGTGTACAATGTTCAACGCCACGTGTTGAAGGCACTGCTGCTGCTGCTGCTTTTGACGACCGACCGGACACCTCCACACATGGTGATTGAATAAGCACCGTTCAGTGAGACTGGATGGAATTCAATTTTAAAATGTGTGTTAGGGAAAGAGATTTTGCAGGAAATCGGTGATAATTTTGATCAGCCATGCAACAGTTGGACATTTGTGTAATTTTCAATAGTGACTTATTGATAATTAATAAAGTGTTCATTGGTAGATACATTTCCAATCGTTTGGCTGTTAAGAATTTAAACATGTTAAATCAACCTTAAATGGGTTCTAATGCTATTTTTACAAATCGTACTTAAGAATTTTGCTAGTAAAAAGTGAAATAACTGTTATAGTCACAACCCAATCACAAAAGTGTACACACTAATTAAGCCCTTCAATGTTCGTTAATTTTGATCTACGGAACTGTTTGGCAAAGTTTAGAAATCAGTGAACAATTCAAAAATTATAAAATGTATATCGAACTTGTACAGGCTTGGTAAAGGAGATGATCAACCCGAGTCGTACTTTCCTTAAAAGTGTCATTTGCTCGCTTCTTACTCTCTTTAAAGGGTGTATTTGATAAAAATGGCACACCGAAAATCTTCTGTAACTTTTGAAACGTATCAGTAAAAAAACCTGAAAATATGAGTAAATCTTATTCACAGTGTATTGTTTACATCTGTCAAGTTCATAGTTATTCATAAAGTAGTTCCAGTCATGCCGTCGAAACAAGAAATTGTCCGTGAAAAAATGTTGTACAATTACAATCAAAATCCAGAAGCGTCCCACCGATGGATCGCTAAAAAGTTTGGAATTGCAAATACAACTGTGCCTCGAGTTAAAACAACCTTCAAGGAGCATCTGAGTGCCCGAAGGAAGGAAGGGAGTGATCGTAAAAGTAGTCCAACGGACAGTAAAATGGCCAGGAAAGTGGTGCAACAGTTCAAGAACCGTCCAAACATGTCAATTCGAGATGTCGCTAAATAGTCCAATAAGGTGTCAGTCGGTTTTGTGCAGAAAACCATGAAGCGTGCTGAGTTACATGTGTACAAGGTGCAAAAAGCCCCAAACCGGAATGAAAAGCAAAACATCACTGCGAAAACCCGCGCCCGGAAGCTTTACACGAAGTTGCTCATCAAATCATGTTGCATCGTGATAGATGACGAAACTTACGTCAAGGCCGACTTCCGTCAACTTTCTGGGCAAGAATATTTTGTTCACAAGTCTATGTTTGATGTTCTTGAGGGTGTTCGAAAGAAGAAATTATCGATATTTGCAAAGAAGTTCGTGATCTGGCAGGCGATTTGCGGATGTGGTGAAATAAGCACTCTCTTCATCACTTCCGGAACAATCAACAGTGCAATTTACACGGAAAAGTGCCTTAAGAAGCGTCTCTTGACATTCATAAGGAAGCACAAAGGATCAACTCTCTTTTAGCCTGCCACTATGCTCGAAACGTGTTGCAGTGGTACCGAGCCAACGGCGTCAATTTTGTGCCAAAAGATATGAACCCACCCAATTCACCTGAACTTCGTCCAATTGAAAAATTCTGGGCTATTATGAAGACAAAACTTTACAAACATCACAAAACTATTAAAAGAGAGCTGGAGTTGAAAAAAAAATTGGGTAAAAACAACAACAAAATCGGTTGTACAAAATTTTATGGGTGGAGTGAAAAAGAAGCTGTGATTCGGAATGGGAGACGAAATTTAATAAAAAAAAATTTTGTTAATCATAACTCATTAGAAGTCTTTCATTCCCTGAAAATTTCAAGAAAATCCGATAATCGATATAATTTTGGTGAGTGTGAGTCATTTTTAACGAAAACACCCTTTATACAATTTTCACACTACCGTACTCTAATGGAAATATCAACTCTATACTTTCATCTCCTCATCTTTAATATAAAATGACCACTCTTAGAATCTCCAACTACTGTCTTACCTGACTTATAACGAATATACGTTGTATACGAGTACCCCGAATACAATGTATTACTACTCGTCTAATTTTGCATAGTATTTGCAATGTAAAATTAGACGAACTAAACGATGTATTTGGGGTACTTATACTGGCGACAACGCTCTGATGAGACAACAAAACCCTGCTCCCAAGCTCCTCCCCTTTTCCTATCCTTTGACAATGTACCCCTATAACCTCGAGTAAGCCGCGAGTATTCGGCCCAACTCCTACTAGGCATAGAATTAAGTGAATTTTGTTAGAAACAAAGAACATTGAATCATCGGCTCCGTAAAGCTATGCCGATTTAGCCTTACAAATAAATGAACTTAATAAAAAAAAAACACAGTAGGCTTTCTTGAGTTAACTCCATTTATTGATAAAAAATAAAATTTGTCGATTTTATTGATTTCTTATGTGTAACCGTAATTTGAAATTTTACCGACTTAATCAGCTGTTCGAAAACCCGGTTAAATTTAACCGACTTAATCAGCTGTTCGAAAACCCGGTTAAATTTAACCGACTTCATTGATCTGAATTTAGTGTCTAGGTCGTCCGCCATAAATTCTCAACGAAAGATGATATGTATTGGATAAAAATTGTTCAATTGCCAACATTTTAAAATCATGCTGATTGATGGGCTTAATGTACAGGCAGGGTTAATGTCCCTAATGTCAGCCTAAGTGTTCCTTGTATTGGGCGCATACATAAATTTCGAAGGAATACATTTTTTAATTGTTTTCAATTGCATACAAAAATGTCCTATTGCATTACCCAGATGAAGCATTGTTTTAAAAAAATGGAAGAACACGAGATTTTTATCTATAGACCTAATCTTAACATTCATAGGCCAACATTAGCCAACCTTAGATATCAATAGCTATGATTCTACAATAGAAACCCAGGTCAGCGATCAATGAACGCTAAAACATGAAGTTTTATGAAAAGATTCTGTCCAATTACAACGGTTGCTTATTCATGAACGAAATAATCAACATAATAATTGATATTGATAAGATTAATGAGAAACGGCTATAGTTTGAAAAAATAATACCAGTAGCCCCATGGAGACTTTGAAATTTGAATTTCCTTACCATATTATTTCAGATTTACTAAACTTTTTTTTTATTAATTTTATTTATTTGTAAGGCTCAACTGTCGAAATCAACTCTACGGAGCCAATAGTGTAGCGAATAAGTTTACAATTCATTAGAATTAAAAGTTATTCGGATTCAAGGCCGGACCGTGGAGAGTTGGGGCGTAAAGTTTTTCTCGGTGGTTAATTTTCTCTGGCGTGCTTCTGTAGTTTTTGTTGTTCTTTGATCAGTGTATTGTGTATTTTCACGAGCTCTGTCCAATTTCCAACTGTTTCCTTGTGTCGTTGCTGATATTCTAGAACCATCTGTTTCTGCTGATTATTCTGCTGCCCTCCGTTATCCAGTCCAGGGTCGGAGCTACAACTGCATCATTTTCTTCTTCTGCTTCTTTTTCTTCTTCTTCTTCTTCTTCTAGCATCTCTATTTCGAGTTCTACTGTCTGCTTGTCCGAAGTAGTCGTTCCTGCGAGAACGGCAGCAAATGTGTTGATTTTTGCCCAGCACCTTCTTCTGTTTGGAAGAAGTACAACACCGATAGGATTTCATTTTCTACATCCATGTAGATTCCACGGACACCAGTAAATAAATCAAGCTGATATTCTGGGGGATACTTCTCTCGAACACAGCGTTTGATTTTTCCGTCCTTGATAAGCACAAGCAACAGATCGGATCGGATACCTCCGGCGGTAGATCAAACACTCGTACATATTGAATGTTACTACCGGATACCGACATGTAAACATCCACTTTTTTCCATTAGAATAATGGAACGGCAGCTTCTTTTCATTGAGCGCAAGGGCTTCTCTCATGCCCTCCCCAGAGTTGTATTTTATATAAACCATCCTCTCCGCTGCATTTTTGTAGGCTGTATCCATCGTTAACTGGTTACCCGCAAGTTCTTTTACAAAGCGCAGCATTGTCCGGAAAAAGGAAACCAAGGGTGTTTGTAGCCGAAATACCACTCTACATTTTTCTGTGCACGAATTATTACCACTAGCCCGAAACAACAACGCAGCAAACAAACAAAGCGTCAGATCGTCAACTTACTAAACATTTTGTCCATGTTTCTTTTTGTAGAATTCGCATTCACGTTCCAGTAAAGCATCACACGCATCTGCATACTAAAACTGTAGTGAAGACGGTCCATGTTGGAATTCCTGTTAAACCAGTGAAGCATCACGATGATGAGGATGATCATGGATGGGAATATCCGAAAAAGAAGAAGTCTAGCAATTATCTTAAGCTACTAAATAACTGAGACAGAAGTGTGGGACTAGCTGCAATGTAATATTACACAGAATTATAATGTACATGGAACAATGTTACAAATAACTGTTTTATCTTTCAGGTTACCTACATTTGTTCACCTTTAATATCAGTTTGCCTAAGTTGTATTTTTATGATGTTTGGCTTAGGAGACAATTTGTTTAAAAATAAAAGGGATGAATTCACTTTATTTTTGAATATACCATAGAATGCAACCTACATGCTGAAACTCACCGATAAATATCCCAACGAAACGAAAACGAAACAAATAATGTGTTTTAAACAGCCATTTGGAGTGTATGAAAACTCATATGTGAAAGCTGCTTCTGGAAATAAACATTAGATAAGAGTGTTAAAATCAGTTATGGCGCAATTGTTTATATTGCATAGATAACTTTTAATATTAGGTGCCCTCAAAGCACTGCTATATGCGAATCTATCAATATTTCCAGAAGTTGGTCTTAAAAACATAATTAGTTAAGACACACGACACGAACTAGAGTAAATATTTTTTATCAGATATTAAATAGTTTATTGCTATATTTAACGGATCAAAATAAAATTAAATAAATCTAATATTGATCTCAACATGTTTTTTTTAATGATATTTATCCGAAAATAAGCCGATAAATTGATCTGACCCAAGGAAGATTACTTTTTTTTATGCTACTACGAATTTTACTTTTCATGTTGTGAATTATGTTTGATATATGTATGCTTTGTTTTATAACCATATTTTGTGAAATTATATGAGGTTTTTGCACCTGCTTGAGGTCGGCATATGTTTGCAGCTTGGTCTTTCAGGCTTTTCCCCCATGCACTCATGAATCTATAGTGTGAACGTCGTGTAATTATTGTAACAACTGTGGGGGTAGTCTGGCAACGCGATACATGCACATTATTAGGTATACGCCAAATGCGTGAGAATGGGTTGGGGCTATTTAAATAATATTAAGGAATACGTGAATTATTCACAATCAAATGAGTACTTTCCACCAGAGCGTTGAATGTTTAATGATTACTCATTTTTCCAACATTTATAGTTATGAACATTTAAAATATTAATTGTTAATTATTGATCTTAAGTGTCTTTACATTTTTGCTAAATGCTAATGATTAACCATTAATCATTAATCATTATTTTTTAACGCTCTGCTTTCTACCAAAAACCATTCAACTGTAAAATGCTCTCGTCAATCCAAATCGCAATTAGGGACCTCAATACAAGCAAAAGAGCAGTGGAGGTTGTAAAATTGATCAATTTTTACTAGTCAGTTGAGGCACGGTATTACAGACACCAGGTTGGCATAGAAAGCTCTCAGATTATAACTGTAAATGTGCAGCTTTCCATCAAAATTGATTAAAAAGGAAGGTAATAATTCTGATGATATAAGGGAAATGGCTCTAATGTTGGCCTATGAATCCAAGATTGGGACCATCCCTAAAAATCTGCTATTTATCAAATTTAAAATATATTTAAATTAATCAATCTAGATGAACGCGTCATTAGGACGGTACCAATGGATATTTTTGGTTGCTATTGAAAATTTAGTCGATTGCTGAATATATGTATGGGCTCATATTAGGGGCATCATCTGATGCTGCTCTCACCTGGTTTATGTCAACGAGAAAACATCTAAGTCAATTTATATAACGGTTCCCCAGAGCTCGCACCTAGGTACGCTTCTTTTTATTTTGTATGCACCTTCCCGACATTTACGTCAAGATTAAGTCGACCTAATTTTGACCGTAACACCCTTTACACAATTTATAATCATAAAATACGGCGTTACTTGCTCGCCGTGTTTTATGATTATAAATTGGTGCCGTGACCAGGATAGTGTTCTAAGGGACGTACCGACGCTAAGACACCATTGTGGTATCGTACAAAAGGACCATCGTACAAAAGGACCAACCGCCATCGAAGTCGCGACCACGCTAAATCATTGGGCGCTGCCATCACGATTTACGCGTACACGTATGGATTTCACGCCCTCACCGTTTTTGTGGAGATTGGATGCAGGAGAGATAAAGTGAAAATACAAGGCTTATTAGATAGGCCTACAAGGTAAGGACCTGTCCAACTTAATATTTTCAAATTTCGTATCTACCTGGTCATTTATCGTTCCTGGTCTCTTACTATTTCGGCGCAGTTTCCGGTGGCTATTACGATCAAAACTACGCACGAATTGTTCATGTGCATTTGGGAGCAAATTATTGGACATTGGATACTATCGTGAAAGGTTCGGAACTGATCAACGAGTCAAGCATATTGGAGCGGTTATAATTAAACTAAAGGCCTAATTGACAGGCTCACCAGGTGAGTTCCTGTCCAAAAAATTGTATTCTTGGTTGGAAGGTGCTGCTCTTGTCGACTTTATAGAACGTGCCTATATTTGGATTTCTCCATCGTGACGTCATCGATTCAAGTTTAGCGGCTCCTGGATATCCTTCTTCGTCCACGACATGTCGAAGAAACTCAAGACCCTGTTACGCAGCACTGCAGACTTTGTGATCCGCTCGGAAAACTTCCTGAACAACACCGAGGAGTTCGACGAGCAACAAGTCAAGATACGTCTGGAGAAACTTGAAGCGAAGTGGACTGAATTCGAGGAACTTGATATTGAGGGCATGGATGAAAACGAGGAGAACATGAAGGAGCACCAGCAGCTGAGGGCAGAATTCGAGGACAAGTACTTTGAGGTAAGAGCAGGATTTGCGAGTAAATTACCACAACAGCATGCAACACAAAACACAGTTCCTATTAACACCTCTCATGTGCAAGCTTCCGTGCGACTTCCTCAAATCAATCTACCTGAGTTCGATGGTAATTTCCAAAATTGGCTGCCATTCCACGATACGTTTGTTGCCTTGATCGATTCCTCTACATAGTTGAACAACATACAGAAGTTCCACTACTTTCGCGCTTCACTCAAGGGTGATGCTTTGAAGCTGATTGATTCCTATTCGATGAGCGAGGCTAACTATATGGTTGCTTGGGATGGTTTGGTCTCACGGTTCTCCAACAACTACCTTCTCAAGAAGCGGCATTTGAATACGTTGTTTGAGTGTCTAAGAATGAAGAAGGAATCAGCGGCAACATTGCACGATCTCATCGATTGTTTCGAAAGGAACACTAAAATTCTGGACCAACTAGGAGAGAAGTCGAACGGTTGGGGAGCGATGCTAGTTCACTTAATGGTCTCGAGGCTCAACGAGGTGACTCAGAAGGTGGGAGGAGAATGTAACGTCTGAAGAGGAACCATCATTTTCGCCGCTGGTCTTGTTTCTTAAGAAGCAAACTCGTGTTTTGGATGCAGTTTCTGTGGATGAACATATCTGCGCTCCTATTGGTTCATCGACCAACAATAATTTCAAATCTCGTCTATCGAAGGTTTCGGTCAACTCGGCGTCCGAAAGGGTTCTATCGGATTGCTTCGCATGTAGCGATAAACACTGGATCAACGGGTGCCAACTTTCGCTAAACTTCCGATTGACAGGAGGCTGCAGCTTACCAACTCCAAACGGCTCTGTAGTAACTGTCTAGGAAGAAATCATTTGGCTCGAGATTGTCCTTCCAAATTTCAAAAAACATCATTCACTGCTCCACCCTGGTTTTCCTGGTTCTGCTCCTACTCCAGGAGTGAATGACAATGAGGATTCACCTGTTCCATCAACATCGGGTGGTGCTTCGAACTCTGGTGGTTAGGTTACTAGTTCGGTGGCATCAATTACAATTAACCTGGCGATGGGACAGCCAAAATCGCACGTGTTTCTGCAAACGGTTCTGCTGAACGTCAAGGATATTTGGGGAAGGATTAATCTCACAAGGGCACTTCTGGATCGCAAGCTAACCTAATGTCTGAATCCTTTAAATTTGTCGAACCTCTTAACGCAATCCCTTTATGAAGAGCTTTGAGTGGGTTGGTTTATTTCCTTTAAATTCCGTTATAATTGCTTATCTTTTGACAGATACGCGTATTTCGTCTACTACTTGCAGACTTCATCAGTGCCAAGTACTCAGCACCACTGAAGAATCCATCTTTTATCTACGAGTTATATACTAATGAATAGGTACTAAAAATCAGCAGGTATCCACTGCCATGTCAAAATTGACCTAACCAGGTACCTAAATTCAGTCTCCAACAGGTAATGCTACGATGTGTTGTTTTAGGTAGCATGCTAAAGAGTCTCGAGTATCCGTTTCCTTGATCTCTATTAAGCAATGTTGATGGATTATGTTATTATTTCTAAACTTTCAGCTACGTCTAGTTTCCAAGGCGAAGATACAGTCCGCAGGATATTTATGTTATCCTTAGTCAAATTGTGCCCCTTTGTAACGATATGTTCTGCAACCTTGGATTTAAATTCATAATGAAGTCCTTTATCCATATCTTTGTTAGCCTTTTTTACCTCTGCGATGTGTTCCTTAAACCTTGTTTCCAAAGTCCTTTTCGTCTGACCAATGTAGATTTTATTGCAATCTGGACAAGAGATTTTGTAGACTCCGGCTTTCCCTAAGACATTCATTGAATCTTTTGTTGATCTTAACAGTGACTTCAGCTGATTTGTCCTGCTGCTGAATACTAAATCTAGGCCAAAACTTCTAAACTTTGAAATCAATGGTTTTGGCACTGATGAAGTCTGCAAGTAGTAGACGAAATACGCGTATCTGTCAAAAGATAAGCAATTATAACGGAATTTCAAGAAAATGAACCAACCCACTCAAAGCTCTTCATAATGACTGAAAATCTTCTTAGAGATGAACTAGCCTAAGGCTAAAAATCTCTTAAATAAAGAATTAAAAAAAAAAAAAAAGAAAAAAAAACTGAAAATCTCCGGTTACCAAGGCGGGACAGGAAAGTGGAAATTTCTGGTAAAGGACGATCACGTAGTCACACAGCTTATGAAGTTTCCGGCTTCAAGTTCGCAATTTCGACAGTACGCTTCCAGTATTTGCCAGTACGATGTTCAGATGGGTAGCTACAGGCGAAGCGAAATCCATGGATGAAGCGACGAACATCACTTGCCATGTAGCGAAGGTGGAACGTGGATTTTATGCAAGAGTATTTGGACCTAGGGCACATGAAATGCATCGGTATGGCCAATGACGATCGGTTGGATGAAGACAAAACAGTCTGTTATCTTCCGCATCATCTGTTTTAAGGAATCTAGCTCGACCACAAAGGTACGGGTTGTCTTCGATGGGTCGGCGAAAATATCCACGAAGTTTTTGCTCAACGATGCTCTGCTATCTGGGCCCAATATTCAGGATGAACTGTTAGAAATTCCCTGTTGCTCTAGTCGCTGATGTCGCAAAAATGTACCGCCAGATTCGGGTTCATGAGGACGACACTCCACTTCAGCGGATATTATGGAGATTCAATGCTTCGGAACCACTTCAAGTGTATGAGCTGCAGACTGTCACCTACGGTTTAGCTCCATCGTCGTTCCTCGCTTCGTGGGTGTTGAAGCAGTTGGCTCAAGACTTAGAAAACAAATACAAGCTTGCTGCCAGCGCTTGTGCAAGAAGATTTCTATA